GCCGCGCTCCCTCAGAGCCGCCGCGCTCCCTCAGAGCCGCCGCTGCCTCGGCGCCTCCGCGTCCCGCAGCGGCTCCGCCTCGCCGCGAGCCGGCTGCGGGCTGCGGCGGGCACAACGGACCGCGGCAGGACGGGCCGGGGGCCGCCGGCGAGCGCCGCAGGATGTCGGCTACCCTCTACGTGCTCTCCACTCTGGGTGGATACATCCTCACCTCCGCGCTTCTCCTCAAGTGCCCGGGGTTGCTGCACCGGCCCAAGCGGCAGCGCTTTCGCTGCCGGCACATCTCGCACCGCGGCGGTGAGTGAGGGGTGCGGGAGGCTTTCTGCTCGCTGCCGCCCGGCTGGTCCCTCACGGCCCCGGGGCGCCGCTCCGGCCCGCCGGGCACGGCCGGCTCCTGAGGGGCTGCGCGGTGTCCGTGCCGTGCAGCGGGCTCCCTTTAAACCTTCCTCCCTCAGCCTAATTTTAGGTGCCACCTGCTGACCAGCGCCTCGGTTCAGCGCGGGATTAATCTCCGAGGGCCGACGGCGCCAGTAGAAAATCAGCATTATTAATTTTTTTTAATGGGCGTGATGCTTTCCCTCTCAGACACATCTATTTTTTTTTTCCCCTTCTGACGATTCTGTATCCTGGTATTTCTCTTCCCAACCGGATGGGCGTCTGGCTGTTGCTTAGGTCAGGTACAGGAGAGCAATTTTCTTGCCTCTGACCTCCTGTTTGCATTGCTTTCTGCTTTTAAGGAAAAGCAGAATTTGCTGTGAGTCTGTTCTTGCTCCCCTCGGTGTTGCAGGCAGACAGTGAATGGCTCAGTGCCCTGGTAAAACCCTTTTCCATTTGAAAGTCAGGCATGTTGATTCTGTCTAAAATAGGCTTTTAAGTTTCTCCTACCTATTCCAAAGCGTTGGGAGGGGGGAAATGCAGCAAGGTGTGTCTCCCTGTTCTGTAGAGATCAGCTCTGTGCTCTTCCCTGCTACCTCACTTAATTTTTGAAAATAGGTAGTTTGCTAGTATTTTTTGGTATTTTGTGCGAGAGATGTTTGGTGTTGAGTTTAAACAGTTTTCAATATTTAGTGCCTGTTTATGCGGGGGTTGATCACAGTTTTAACCCATGGTCCTTAACAAATGCTGCTGACTTGCATTATCAAAATATAAAAACTGGAGCTGATCTCCTAGTGATTTTATTCCTGGAACTTCTTTCATTTACTTTACTTGGCAGTTTAAGTTTCTTTGTATCTATAGCCTTAAGCATAGCATAAAACGTAGCTTTTTTTGTGGACTGTCTATATTACAATCTGTCGCTTGGTATTTAGATTTTTCCTTCAGCGAAAGAAAAGGTTTTTAATTTGTTTTTATTTGTAAGCTGTTAAAAACTTGCAGGCGGCTTTGTTGGAACTTGGAATAATCCCATTAATCTTCTGTTTTCACTCCTTTGCAAGCACCTTAGTTAAGATACACAGCCCTAAGCCTGGAATGCGAGTGCTTGGGCCAGTTGCTCTAAGCTCCATCGGAACAGCAGGAAAGCCTCGCTTAAGGCAGGATTATTCCTCAGGCATTCAAAGTCCACGGTCTGTGAATTGTTCCTGTGAAATCCACCTGAGGCAGGAGGGCTGCCCTGGACGTTGCAGCTCATCTGAGGCAGAAGAACGCTCGTGCTTTGCTCTCCTTGTGTTTACCCTGTAACATAAATTCCTGCGGGACTTGTGCTCTCGGGCTTTAGCCATGCTGTAGCTTTAGACTCAGTGTCAGGTTTCCTATTGCATTACTCCACTTAGCTGGGGAGATCAAGGTAATGCTTAACTTGTTTGGCTTTTTTCCTCTCTGGGATGCAACCTTGTACAGTGAAGCTTTTTAAGTCTGAGGGGCTTGGTTTATCTTGCTTTTTCATTCAAGAATTTGGTCACCTCGTTTTGTAGACTCATCCCTGAATTATTTCTTCAGGTCTGCATAATTTTAAAATTGGGCATTTCTGAGAGCAATTTTTGAGTCTTGGTATTCTGTGTTGGAGTCCTCTGTCGATGCCAGCAGCCCTGGGTTGCAGGGTCTCTGAGAGAGGGTAGCATGATGATTTTTACACAGAATAATTTGGATTGGAAGGGACCTCTGGAGATCACATCTGACCAGAGCAGGTTAACCTGGACCTGTTCCAGTTTGGTTTTGAATGCATCCAGAATAGAGTCTCCACAACTTCTTCAGGGAGCCTGTTCCAGAGTTTGGTCACTCTTAAAACAAAAAAAAGGGGGGTTTTCTTACGTTTATAAACGGAATTTCCAGTATTTAAACTTGTTCCCATTCCTCTTGTCCTTTCCCTGAGCAGCACCAAGAAGAGTTTGGCTGAGCCTTTACTCCCTCCCATCTAGTCTTTACACATGTAAGGTCTTCCTCAGCCTCTGTTCTCTAGACAAAACAATTCCAGCATCCTCAGCCTCTTGTTGTACATGACAATCTCTCATCCCTTAATTTTCACAGCTCTTCCTTGGACTCCCTTTGGTAGATCCATGCCAGTCTTGTGCTCTGGAGCCCAGAACTGGGCATGGTGCTCCAGGTGTGGTTTCACCAATGTTGAGCAGAGGGGAACAACCACCTCCCTTGACCTGCTGGCCCCAAAACCTTCTGAAGGTCATTTCCTTGAGGCAGTGCTTGGTGTTGGCTCCCTCTTGGTCATGGGTGCTTGCACAGTGGGGATTTGCCCTCCCAATGTCTGGAAGTGCCATTTTGGCTGGGAAAGTCTGTTCCTTCTAGGGAATGAGCCCATGAAGCTGGAGGCGTGTTTGAGAAAGTGTCAGAAGCCCTTTGGTCAGCCCAGCCTTCTCATTTTTCAAGGGAGAAAATTACTTTTATCAAGTAACTTGTGTGGTTCCCTTTTCTGTGTGTGGTTGCTGATTTTGAATTCCTCTTTCAGCTGATCTCTCAACTTTGTTCCTCATTTCCCCCAAAATGCTGCAAGTCAGGCATTTGACTCACCACCCCTGATATGTCACCATTCCTGGCTATAGACCACCTCCCTGCCACATGATTTGTTAGATCAGCCACTTAAAAGTTTTATTTTTGGAACTTTCTGCCCAGGAATGTTAGGATACTCTTGCTTTGTTAACAAATTGAAAGCCTGACTCAGGTGTTTTGGCCCTTGCCTCACCGTTCAGGATGTACAGGCTGGATTGCCACAGCTGATAAGTTATTTAAAAACTCAATTATTATTGCAGCTAATTTGTAACTGATAAGCCAGGCCCTGTGCAGGGGATTCCCATCTGTTAGGCAATCACCAGATGGATACCATGAGGTTCTTGTGTTCTCCTTTGTCCTGTGGTTCACTTTTGCCACTCAGCCAATTCTCAGTTCTGCAATCAAATCCCATAAAATGTTGGTGAATGTCTGACCACAGAAGCTGCTGTGGACTCACCATATTGTTTTACATTAAACCCTGCAGGTTTTTCTCATCATGGTTCTAAGTTAAGTCTTCCATTTTGTAAACCTTCCTGAGAACAACAATTTTA